ACAAATATATATTTTATTGTTCATGTTAAAGTAGTTGTTTTGAGAGAGCTTTTTCGATAGACAGTGTCTCAGGAGGAGTTGTTGAACTTTGTGATGAGAACGTCCAGAAATGGGAGTTATTATTTTCGACTTCCATTGTGAATTTCAGGTCAGAGTGTAGGTAGTTGATGTGGTTCAGGAATGCATGAAGGCCTTTGGATCCATGTGGGTATACAACAAAGACGTCATCCACGTATCGGAGCCAACCGGACCTATATACAAACCGCCCTTCACCATCCCGTCTCACAAATCCAAAGATCCATTCAACGATAGCAAACCCAAACCCCACATCCCGAATTACCCGATGAACAGACTTGCTAGCTAAAAGCTTTTCTCCCGTACATCCATGGAGTTACCGACAAAAAAAGACGAATTCTGAAGAGGTATAACGTAAGAACAATATTTACAGTCAACAAACAAATCTCCACTCTTTAACGAACACCCAAGGACATGATACGTAATGAGACATAGGGCATACATGAAATACCATGTTCTAACTGCCCCAGAACTTACATCGGTCAGACCAATGGAAGAATTCCCAACAGAGCCTATGAACATGAACTGGCTGTTAGCAAATCAGATCCAGCCTTATCCCTTTTCAAACGTCACCTAGAAACAGGTTACAAAATTAGCTTTGGAAACACCAAAACCATCGCAATGGAGAAAACTCTTCAGGCCAGGATAATTCGAAAAACCTTTTCCACTAAAACAAGCGATAATTTGAGCAAATTCATAAAAAACAATAAAATTGAAGCCGAAAAATCACAAAAATCTGGGGTTTGCCCTGAAATATATGTCGGCGGAACATTTAGAAATTTCAAAACCTGCATTCTTGAACATAAAAGAAGCTTTGATTACCACAAGGGAGATTTAAATTACGAAAATCACTTTATAGATGAAAACCATACTTTTGATCTAAATATTAAATTTTACATTCAAAAATAAAAGGCTTAAAATCTAATTTCTTAGAAGTACTGGATATCAACAGGAGAAAACAATCCAACAATTAACTAAATGACCAATTAGATGTTAACCTGTTTTAAAATCTGTTTTTCGTTAACCAGCTATCGCATCCCTACGAACGACAACCCTCAAAAGTCGAAACTTGTGCGAGCCAGGGATTACCTTTTAACGTGTGATTCCTAACACGGGTTGGACGATAGCAAGTGAAAAATGGATCGTTTAGACTAGGGCTCGAATCAGCGACCAACACGGCAGTCAATTCGAGTGAGTGAACGCCAAACCGCTTGGCTACCGTCAAACCAATAAATAATTGCATATATGTGATATAACTGAGGGCATCTTTGTGATATTACTCTGGATGGATTTCCTATATTAAGAAAACTTCCTGTTTACTTTTGGGCTACCTCCTTCTATTTACCTGATTTCAAACTACTATAAATATGTTTGTACATTTTGTCTTCGGTAAGGTCAAGGGGACCCGCATGCCATACATTTCATTCAGTTAAATCACGACAAAGTCAATAGATCAGGTGAAAGCACCTAAATGCTGACTTTCGACCGCAGGAGGTCAGAAGTGAATCTTGCTGAAGTGCCCAGTAGCAAGTTGAGGTCCATTCATAAATGAGTGGGGGTACATGGACGAGATTTTAGCTTCTGTACACAGTAACCATGTGGAGAAGATTCTATCTCAGGGCCCTCAACCCCTGGAGGGCATGGGGGCGGTGAATACCATTTTTGTTTGAGAAAGCTATGGGAATAGTAAAACGCGTCACATATTACAAGTAGTAATATATTGTGCATTAAAAAAACAAGTGTTTTTTCATTTAATTCCTAATAATAAAATTATTCTTTTAAGCAAACTTAAAAAGACTATATGGTAAACAAAATTGTGATATATATGAAAATGGAAAATGTGTCAAAACGATGTAAGAGAAATCAAATACAAATATCAAGAAAATCGAAATTTCCAGTCCACCCCAAATCTTCTGAAAAAAAAAGAAATGCGCTCGAACATAAATCTCCCCGGACAAGAATATTTATGCATGATCGATTCTAACATCGCGATGGTCGTTATTATTCCATCTAGTGTAAGTTATTGCCATCGCTGTGGAAAATTCTTGAATCGCGATGCACCCCGCAGGAGTCGCCAGAAAGTTGCGCCTCTGTAACATTAATCTCGTCGGGATATGCATTAAACAAATCGCGGTGATTGTTACTTGGAGGACGTAGCAATTTATCATAGAAGTTGGAGAGACCGCGAAAAACGTTTGTCAAATAAAATATACTTGATTCCGATTGACACGTGAAAATATTGCGTTTTTAGAAAGAAAATCATATTTTTCCGAAATGTTAATCACTGAAGAAAACTGAATATATGAGAATTAAATGTTTACATTGATCATTACCAAATTTTCGAGGTGAACTTTGCAGTTTGCCGTGTTACACTTCTGCGGATTCTTTGTGGATTGAGCTTAGTTCACTTTTCGAATTGTGGAAAGAACTTATTATCTTCAAATGAGAAGCGTTTCTATAGAGAAGGTTCATGTTGCCTTCAACCAAAAGGACAACTGAAAATTAAGAAAAATGTTGTAAAACTAGAGGTTTGTTATGGTTTTAACATCCGAAACTGTTGCATATATGATGCGTACAAACAAAAAATCTCAAACAGTCCAAAATAGTGTCGGACACTTGGTTAAACCAGAACGCATTTTGAGAGACCACTGTGCCACTTATCGTATATATGAAGAGATGAAGACGATAAAATACTGTTGATCATTTCCATTTTGTTATGTAGCGTATCCTTGTAGTCAGTTCAACTGTCAGTAAACTTAACCTAACCTAACCTCAATCATCAATTATTCAAATCAAATAAATAAAAAAACATCCTAGAAAATAGCCTAAACAAATTTTCACATGAATACGCATGTGAAAATGCAAAGGGAACAGTTCTCAACAGTTCAGCCTCGAGAGCAAGAACGATTCGGTACGGATCAAGACAGTTTAGGATAATTTCGCAGTCGAAACCAGAACAGAAGATTCATCAATCCGAACTCAATAAAAAAACTCAATAAACCAGAACGCTCTATATCAACTGCGTATGATCCTGACGTCCTAGAACCTGAATTTCGTAGCTCAAAAAGATATTCAACAGGCTACTGTACATAGTTAATGACAACAAAAACATCGTCAATATGTGGTTATTCCAAGATGACAAGCAGATAACCCATCTTTCTCTCATTTATACGTTAAATGGTTTATATCACTCGATATGACGATGAACATCTATTTGGAGATTTGATTATTCTTCTACAATTTATTCATCATAGTGTCATGATTTCTTCATTGGTAGAAGTATTTCGTATTGGGTGAACGCTGCTGCCCTACATTATCATGACACCCCTTTCAACAATCCGGGCTCCGGACTCCTGGTCAATGGCAGAAATAAATAGGGTGAGGGGAACTAAAACTCACCAAAAGACTTTGCAGAACATGCCACCGTGGACCAGCCTACCCAAGCTAAGGTACAAGGTGACCAACTCTTTCCTTGCTAATCGTGGGAACACACATGAATGAAACAAACATGAAAACAGAAACAACAAAAACAAAAACCAATCCCGAGGCTGGACAGAAGTGCTCACCTCAATCAAAGTCGGTCACTGGGGATGATCAAAAATGTCCACCCCAATCTACCGCTTGGAATGAGACTGGACTTAGCAGATCACCTCGTAATGTAATAAATAGGCCAAGGCGTAAGAGCATTTGCGGCGCCGAGTCCAGAAGGAAAAAATTACCAAAGGAGGCAGGAGTGGCAGCAACTATAAGTGCACCCTCCTACCCCCCACCCCACCTCCAACAGAAAGGGCACTTCCTGCGGCGGGCGCCTTGAGCTCCGCCTTGAATAAAGGCAAGGAACCGGCTGCCTCTGCAGGAAAGCTTCCTCACTTGTGCAGGGAGGGAACCCCAAGAAGGTTGAAGAAGCCGCGCAATGACAGTAAAGTCGCTGCACCTTCCAAAACCTTCTCGGAGGCCACCGTGAGACACCTCAAGGTTGCCAAAGAGAGTGTGTGTTCGGCGAGTCTTGGCGTGCACCTGCCAATATAAAGGAGATGTCTCCTAGTGACCTGTCCACCTTTCTGGAAAGGACAGGATGGACGATGGCCTAGGAGGACAACTCCTCGGGAGGATGTACAATGGGGCACATGTGGCCTAAGGGCTGTGGGTCTACAATCGCCGTCCCCACTCTACAGATACGGATTCTTGTTAGGTTGTAAAATTATCACAAGGATGAAAGGTTGAATGTTGTAGGCATATGAATATCTGTTTTCCTCTGTTATTTGAGGTACAATTGTTATAGAGGTACTTCTTAGTCGCTACCGCACACATAACACTAGTTTAGGTTTATAAAAGCTCAGCATACAGGCTCCAAGCCGTTTAAGTGGAGAGTTCAACTCCAATCAGGCTGATTTTTGTAACGGTTCATTTACAATTTACGACTCAAGCGAGCTTAAGGTCTAAGCCATGTCTGATACTGTACGGAGAAATCGGTCATATGTGGTTTTTGGACCTGCCAATGACGGGGAGCTAATATTCCTATGCCGGTTTATTGGGGGTCAGACGGTGAGTGGTATTAATTTCTGCACTTTACTTACATGAAATTATTTGAAGTTACTGTTCTGAATGAAATTGTTTTTCTGTTTTTTTTTCTACTCCTAACCATTTGGCTTTGGTACATCTGCTCTAAAAATACTATCTGCCTAATTTGACGCATACCTAAGTTACGGCAATTAGTTTTCTAATTGGTTAATCCTGGTTTCCTCATTGCTCGTTGAAACTTTCTGATGGGAAAGTAATCGGATAAAGTAGATATATAAGTCTCAAATCAAAAAGCTTTATTGAATTAGCTATTGAATAACTAATAACACTAACTGAATAACTAAATAACAGTTCACAGACAAAACATGATCTAACACTATCTCTTAAAGTAATGGTAAAACTAACCTGAAATCCTACGTTAATGCACCCATGATGGCGTCGTCGCTGTGGTCGAGTACGAAGGTGGAGGTGCACTAGGTTGGGTATTCGTCATCACCGAATGCGATTCCGTTTGTGCAGGTACAACTCCTTGCTGTTGATTGGGGAAATTGAAATCCAAACTACCCTCCATGTTCAGTTCGTGTTTTATCAATTCTTCAACGTTGCACTCGAAGCCGCCCTGCAAGGACTCCACGTTGATGTTGAGGTCGTCCAAGATGGCGCTGTTGTTCAGCGCCCCCATCAACTGGCCCATCATCGTCGAAGGCGGGCCCAAAGATGGCCGCGGGGTGAGCGGGGGACTGCTAGATGGAGGCCTCGGCATTCTGTTGATCAAGTATTGGCTACCTAGGGGGTCCGGAGATGGTTCCGAGTGGGGGTAGGAGGGTGACATCCCCGCCGGTGACATACTCTGCAACACAAATTGCAACTTGAATGATTGAATTCAGGAGTTTTATATTGAAAAAATTAGTTGGGCTCAAAAGTGACAAAATGATTGAAACTTTTTTCCAGAATGTATAACTTTATCTGGAAGTAATACATTCGAGTATCCATAAAACAGATTATAATAAACAGAAAATTGTGAAATTTTTTGAAAGTAGCAGCTACTTCTATTGTCCATGATGATGAAGAAGCAAGGTTCGATGTGTTTCTTTTTGAAACAATCTACTAGTGCTTTGAGATTCACATTTGTTCTACTATTCTGACAATGAAATGTTTTCTCGTATATTGAGTTGAGGCGTGGTACATAAAAATTTATTTTTTGTAGGAGCGGACTACAGGAGATGTTATTTATTATTCATTAAATTATATAGAAATTTGACCGTAATGAGAAGTCTATGTGTATTCAGTGATATAATATTAAATTGGTTCAAAAGGATGGAATAGTCAATTCCCCTTTGGGGGTAAATACGTGTATGCGAAAAGACAAGAATTTCAAAAACTTTCTTTGGACAGCTTCAATTTGCTGTATGTGAGAATTATAAATGAGATACCAGATCATCGCCCCATATTCTAGTTTGGACCTCACATAAGCATAGAATAGCGTGATTATCACCTTTGTATCTCTAAATTCTCTGGTGTTTCTCATTATGAAGCCCAACATTCGACTAACAGCATGGTCTATATGTGAAACAAAAGTGAATTTCTTATCAAAATTAATGCCAAGGTCTTTCATTTCATTAACTCGACTTATGGTATTATTATCAATTTCCTAAGTAAATTGTATTGGACTTTCCTTTCTGGAAAAAGACAATGCATGACATTTAGCAATGTTAAGATTCAAACGATTATTGGAACACCAATCATATATCAGATCTAATTCATACTGTAAGTCTAAACAGTCTCCGTAATTTTCATCACCTTGAATATTTTAAGGTCATCAGCGTAGAGCAGTTTTGAGTTGTTTATTATTTTAGTCAAATCATTAATGAAAATCAAGAACAAAAGAGGTTCTAAATTCGAGCCTTAGGGCACTCCGGAACTAGGAGTATATAAAGCAGAATAGAAGCCTTCATACTCTACATACTGTTTTCTATCGAGTAGATAGTTTGACATGAGTTTCACCAATTTTGCTGGAAACAAAATTCTGAAAGACGCTTGAGTAGAATGAAGAAATCTATTCAATCAAAAGCTTTTTGCATGTCTGTATAAATGACGTCAACCTGCAGTTTCCTACCCAAGGCTTCAGAGACAAATTGTGAAAGATTAAGAGAAAATGTGCTTCAACCGCGTTCATAACTCTGATCTCTCGCTCACGAATAAAATACTATTCACTTTTATTAGTTCGTACTTCCATTGTCTAATATATATCACGCGTGCCAGAAAAAAGATCCAAGCAAGGCATTTGAATTAAACAGGTATTTTCAGTTATTTTTCTGTTTCCTACATTTCCATTAAAAAATTCTAGTAGTTTTCTATTTCAAACTAATTCAAATCTTCAAAACTAGACCGTAAGTATACAATTGGTTGAATTTGGGATCTTACCTCTACTTTGATAGGTTGCATGCAAGCACATGACTGGATACGATGGACAGGGCATTGTGTTAGTCCGTACGGTGAGGCAGCGTGTAAGGCATTCAAATCTCTACATCCTGGAAATTGTTCGTAAGGGGCAGTATAGGGTGGGGGAGGAGGTTGGGGTGTCTGACCGTTGATATACCTGGAAATAAATATTGAAGATAACTTTGCGTCGAGGCAAGACAAAATGTTTCCAAAGCTATACAGAAGCTGAACAAATGCAAACAACAATAACAATATTTTTCATCCAAGTGATTAGCCTCGTGTCTTCGTCCTCTCGTAATGTCAAATTGACAATCATATGTGCTTAGGCTCTTAGGACATTTTGAAAGGAAAACCATCAATGTTTTTTCAATTCGTAAGAAAAAATTTTTTTTTCATATCTGAATAACATGTCTGTTTATTCACCAAACTATAGTTTACTATAATATTGAGAGCTGATAGTTGTTGGTTCACAGATGGATCAAAAACACCTTTCGGTTCTGGTGCAGGTGTTTTCAGTTGCAGGCCCAGAACAGAGATATCAACTGCCTAGGAACCTATGCGACTGTATTTCAAGCGGCATTTTACGCTATTGAATTGTGTGCGCAGATATTGGAAGAATCTAACTATATACACAATAATAATAATAATAATATGTTTATTCAACAACAACATTGAGTTAGTACAGATTATAACAGAATCATATGTGAAGGAACAAACACAAGAACAGCCATAATGAAAGATATCCACGCATGGCTATAGTTATTGCTATAACAATTCTAGGGACCATCACGAAGATAGCACTATTTCTAGTCTGATGTATTATCGTAGATGTTCTTGTTTTCATTTCATATTGTTTCAGTAGTAATGTCTGGCAGTATACCTGTCAAATATCCAAGAACCCGCTTTCAATATATAGTAGATCCGAAGAATCCCTGAAATTTTTCTTAAAATTATTTTCAATTTCCACTCCTCTGTGACTTCTAGTTTATTAAGGTAGTTGTTCGTTAACCCTCCCCAAGCAATTCTACCATAACTGAGCTGAGATTGTCTTAGAGCAAAATAAAGTATCCTCAAGTGGTTTAATGAAAAGAAATTTGAGCAGATTTTGAATTTTCTTCTTATATCATCATATATGATGATATATTCCCAGATACTAAATACTGGTTCGCATCTTTATTTCAAATTCTCCATCGGGGATATCAATGTTGATCCTATCATATTTAGGCAAATGAGAAGAGTAGCTGGTGGAAGGAATGAAAAATTTTTTATCGTCCGCAAAACTGATGATGTCTCTATTGATAGGTAGGTCAAAGATGTCATTTATATAAACAGTGAATAATATTGGGCCCAGTATAGTCCCTTGCGGCACTCCATACTTGATATCTCTAAATGAATTGATTGAATCACCAATTTTAACACATTGTTTTCTGATATTCAGATAACTGGTTATCAACGAAAGACATCCCCCACGAAAGCCTATTCTTTCCATTTTTTTGATCAGATTAACATGGCTGATGGTGTCGACTACATATACAAGTGAATAAAAATATTTTTGGACAGTCAGGCGGCCTAGGAAGCTCCTGGCTCCTACTAAGTAACGTCTAAATTGGTAGCACATTGCCAAAAACGACTCTCCTCGATAGAAAGACTTAACAGATTGTTTCTGGTCTGAATTCCTGGCCATACTGGCCTGGAAGGTGATGAGGCTACTAACTCCTTTGTAAAGGAGGGTGCTGCAAGCAGATCATCGGACCAGAACCTGTCATTGGCATCGCTTTAGGCTTTACCAAACAAAGATTGAACACCTGGATGGCAAGAAGATTTATGAACTTCTGGCAGAATATTCCAGGATTGGCTCACTCCAAGGCGTTTATTCACCCTTCGAAGGTTGATATCAAACAGTTGTTGGACTACAGTAGGGATAAACTATGATATCTAAGATGCCTTATTACAGGTCACTGTCATTTGAATTATCGTATGCAGAGACTCGGACTGTCGAAAGACAGTGTGTTTCGCCTCTGTTTGGAAAATGATGAAACAGCAGAGCACATACTTTGTGCCTGCCCTGCTTGGGACCGAATTAAGAGTTTAAGAGTTCGACAGAGCCGTACCCTTACCATCGCAACCGCAATGTAGAATTACCCTTACGCAACCCTTGCGGGTTGCGGTGAAGGGTCGAACAGACCCACTCACTTTGGACCTAACCTATAGTTTACCATAGTTTCATGTATTCTAACTTGCCTTCAATATACAATATTAAAAAAAAGTTAAAGTTCGATTATATATTGAAATATAGATATGAATAGTAAATTGTTCAGGAAACTAGTAAATGCAGTACTGGCGAACGATAACCTTGTAATACGCAAGAATTCTTGAAATCAAAATTTGAGAATGCTGTTCTGCTGGGTATAAATAGTCCGGAAAAAATGAGATATTCTTTGAATTCACTCACAACTTATGGATGATCCAATTGATTTATTTATACTACTGCCTTCAATCACCAGAACTGCAACACACTTCTCCACGACCGTTTCACCAACCAACCAAGTTTAAAGTTGTCTACTTCACCTCCTGAAGATGTCAACTATTAATGAAACGTATGTTGTTATGGTGTTTGAAAGCAGTACTTGTTTTGCTATAAATAGGTTCACTATTGAACTGAAATGGTAAAATACACATTATTTATTTCAAGAAATGGAAAAACCATTACTCTTACATTGATATTTTGCTCTAATTGCTCTTATATCTCAAAGTTTATTTTTCCTTTGAAAGAACAAAATTGTCAGACATGATAATTTTTTTAGCGCATACCCAGAAAAGTGTACATGCGGGAACTTTCCCTCTCTTCGAAAGAAGTAACATTCCGTTATAAAACGGTAATCTCGTAAGCGCATTCGCCAAAAAACCAGCCGCAACCATGTTCAGAATATACTTTGGCGGAGTCGCCAGTTGAGATCCCTTTCGAATTCTTTTGAAAAGATCAAGAAAGCGAATAAACAATTTACTGATACATTATTTATTATATTTCCAAACATCAAAGTATTGTAAAATTTTATCAAAAATATACATGTGAACACAACAATAATTCTATTTCGCATAATAACCAGCCAACAAATCACACTGACCTTTCGCGATCATTGCGTATCAAGTAGTTACTACTATGTCAAAAAAGTATCGGTATTGGTCAATGGGAGGCAAAATATGTATCATTCATCGAAATTAATTGTATCGCCTTCAAAATAGACCCTTTCCGAAACAATCCAATTACGTCAGTAAACAACCACATCATCAAAACATTTTTGAACGTATTTTTTTAGAATCGATTACAGCACTCACTGCAAATTATCTTTTATGTCATCTATTGACTGAAAACGAATGTGACGAAGTGGTAATTTGAGTATTGGAGAGAGAAAAAATCGGTCGGAATCATATCAGGTGAATACTGTGGCTGTTCGATGAGATTTGTCGAGTTTTTTGACAGAAATCCATTTACGATGACGGTTTTGTCAGATGGTGTTGTCGTGGTGCAGAATCCATGAGTTGTTTATATCTGGTCCCTTTTTAAATAAATTTCCTCTCTCAAACGCCGCATCATGCTCTAATGATATTCTTTATTTACTCTTCTGGCAATCTTCTGGCAAGAATTTCGAGTGCACAACATCGCTTTAATCGAAAAAAACTGTTAACTTTTTTCTGTTTTGTATCATTTGAGAAGCGCCATTCAACAGTTTGTTGACTGGTTAGCGTATCAAATTCTCTTCACCAGTTACAATGCGTTTTATGTATGTGGGGTCGGAATTGACTCGTTCTATTATGTCTTCAGCGACTTTTTTGTGATTGCATTTTTACAGAAATTATTAGTATTTTGGTTTAAGTCGAGCGGCAATACATTTCATGACTAAAAATCGATTAAAATGGTACGAAATGTTTCGTGAGACGTTGAAATTAACATGTTCTTGAAAGTCGATTCTACAACTTATGGCTTGGCCGATTTTTACAAACATAGCGGTGTTGGATGGAGAATCGAAAGGTCTTCAAAACCAGGAGCCACGTGACCCCCTTTACATTGGAAAAAAAGTTGATGGTGCCTTCTTTTCACGCCAAAACGTAGTAAAAGTAGTACCTTTTTACCTGAATTTTACCCGACCTCGATAACTTATTCCGTTCAGAAGTTAAGAAGCGAGGACGTTTTACATCCTCACCGTATATAATAATCACTTCCTTCATATTCTTTGAAAAATTATTTTTGAAAAGAATCTGACTAATAAAAATCAATCTGAAAAGTTACTGTGTAATATACACCTCTGAAGAATCTTAATCTGAATCTGAAAACCCAAAATTCTTTGTAAAAATTACCTTGATTGAAAATATATACCTTTTTTTCGATATCTGTAAAATATCAAAGGTTGGATGTTTTGGAATATATAACAAACATTATCATTATTTTCATTTACATTTGAGGTCTTCTCAACATCTTTTTTCTTATAAGAACGAAGTTGTTTTTCTATTAAATACTTTGATACCTTGTTTTCAAAGGGAACAATGAGCACAAGGTAGGATGTTTCAAATGTCGTTCTTCTATTGAATAACGAGGACAAAGCCATAACATTGTCAGATTGTAGTAGTGAACAAAAGTCTCAGCACTGTCAGTCGTTGCTGAGACTTCAAGATATAACCTTCATTCTCGCAGTCCACGCAGTAGATTATATATGCCGCAGTAGCAAACGAAATGTTTGGTACTACAAGTTCCATTCGACCACGACTCACCATCCCAGATTTTTTTAAATCATGACTCAGGCAGTATAAGACTATGTTCTTATATTATCACATTTCCTGGGATTCACAGAGTGGTTTGTAGAGACTCGATACAATATTTTAAAACAATGGAATCAGAATGATTCTGTCAATTATCCATCATATGAATAAGTGATGAATATATCATGGTTATCTATAATTTCAGGAGTCTAATTTGCTTTCGTGAAGTTGTGGTTCTTGAAAGAGAATTCAGTTTCAAAAACGTTATGGAAGACCCAGATTAAAAAAATGTTTGAGACTTTTCAATTACATTATTGAAAGATTAATTGTGTTGTTTTTTCTTCATTTGAAAAAAAATGTAGTTTTCAAAAAATCTACGTATTGTTCACATGTACTTTTATATTTCATGAAACAAAAATTTATAATAGTAACGGACATAATGAATTGTGATATATCCTTCCTGCTGAAGTACATAATGGAAAAATGTAAATATTTCATATGAACTACATAATACAATTGCTCAAAATATTCCTTAGATTTCAGTTTTAGTTTCTAGTTTGATGGTTTCAACTATTGTAATCCAAGAATAGAAAAAATGTCTGCGGAAAAAAATATTGTTCATACCTATTAATTCACTTACTTTTTCATATCGGCTTGTATTGAAGTGAAATAGAAAAAAAGGAAAATATTTCAGTTTAATTAATGAAACTTCATCTGATGTAGCAGGACTGTAGATAGTGGTAACCAACTAATCAAATAACACTCCATATGCAACAAAAAAATTTGACTCAGAAATTACAGAAAAATTAAAAACGCATATTCTTAATTTGTATTTTTCCAATCAACTAATTCGCCAATCATTTTTAATTGTCCAAGAAATTCTGCATAAACACAAGCAATCCCTGAAAGCGGACCCTGTATCGACTTATGGCTTCAAGCCTTTAGCAACAAAGAGAATGAAAAGCGTAAGCAAAAGCATTTATTTCAATAATCGATTATCGACTCTCACCCCAAATAAGCATCGGCCGGTTCTAACTTCATCCCTTGTTGGAGATTTCCCGCAAGTTGGTCAGGCGAATAATTACCGGTGGACACCATCTCTGGACTAAAGTTCGAACTACTGTACTGACCGGGATTGCCCCAGTCAGGTTCTACCCCCACGGATGGTATCGGGGAGAGTCTTCCACAGGAAGAAGTGTTCGAAGATGCCCTTGGTCTAAAGTCCGGGCTCAATTGGAACCCGCCACTAAACAAGAAGAAAAATTAAATGTTAGGAGTCGTTCCCTACTATCTGAATCGTTTCCAAAGTTTACTCGAAAATGAAATATGTCGTGGTTGAGCCAAATTGCAATGAAATCCGCAAGCAAAGTGAATACAGTAAGGTCAATGGATCTATACAGATGCGTTATCAAGTTATGAATCCGAAATGAGTCGACGAAATGATGAACGCGAAATGACACGGCCGCTCCACATATAGCTTTGAGGGGACATACTGAAAGACTGGCTGTAAATCAAAGTATCGAAAAGAACAATTCGTTCACAGCAGTCTCAACTCACCTGCACTGCAGGTTAACGAACTCACACGTATCAGAAAACAACCACTCCCGTGGCTGATACCACAAAGGGGGTTGGATTATATCAGACAGGTGTCAGTGCAGGATTCTTCAAAGAAGCAATTCCTGCATATGCTGTTGGCGATACAACTGCCGAAATTGACTATCAGTTATTGTAACGGGCACACTTGCAGACCAGTTTCGGGTTATTCGGCCTCTTGTCAGTCAACATGAAGTCGATGATTTCCCATGATTAAAAATCGAATTCCTTTCAGAGTATCATTCCCCGAACAAGACTGAAGCCAACGATAAACAACATACTAGTCATCGCCCCATTTAACCCAACCGCATATCCGAATAGCCCAATCCCTTGTATAAGGTAAAAATCTTCATATATAGTAAGGGGGCATACTTGAAGACTGGCTATAAATCAAATTATTTAAAAGAACAATTCGTTTAGGCCAGTCTCAACTAATCTATACTGTAGGTTATTGGACTGACATTTCTTATTAATAAAGGACCTGAAATCTCACTAGTATGAATCTGATCACACACACGGAACTGTAAACACAGTTTTTTAATTTTTGTTACCGAGTTTGTTGGAAGTAATGAAGACCTTAGCTTGAATGATGGCGTGTTGGTTGTCCTTGTTCATCTTTTACTGCCTGAACCACTGTGCATGCTGTTTTTGGCGAGTGCATTGGCTTGGGATGTGGGGATTGACCAAACCAACCATCGGATGCCTGCTTCCACGTAGCCCCGCTGGATACAGGAATGACAGAATCACTTGTGGTTCTGTTATTCCCTAACTGAATGGCATCCCAACGATGGCTTAATCCTAAGGTGTGTGTATCCGTGCCGAGAAGATGAATGACCCTTGAGCCTATCAGCTGTCTCTACGGAACCTTCGAGATACCGGGCGCCCTATCGAATAGTATTATTCAAAAGAATATATCTTCACATAGAAACATCAAATTTCATAATTGAAAATAAAGTTTGAATCTTATTTCAATACCGATGAGATATGATAGGAGAGACTTGAAGATGGGTTTTTATGTTGACCAGTTGTCAGTTCTCTACAAAAGCAATCCTCAAAGTAGAAACTTTTGTGAACTGAAAATCAACGAGGTTTCTCTTTTCAACGTGCGACCCAGCAAAATCGAAAATATTAAAACGAAATTTTGCTCATGAACTGTCGCCCAGGAAGCGACCAAGTTTTGATACCAGTTACGTCATGAAATAGTTATTGATGATTGAATTCAGATCGAATTCGATTAACTGAGTCCTTCAGTTGATCGAATATTAGTAACACATTTCAGAAATATATCACATTTTCGAGTAACCTTCGAATATACATTTCAGTAGTAGATGGACTCCTCTTTAAAGATACTGATTTATCAAGAAAAATTACTGTTTTTGAATTTCACACTGAAAAGGGTCCGCAGAAGGAAATAAATGAACCCGAAGATACAAGGTTATATTAATTTTTTATAAAACAGACTGGAAAATTCTGGCAGATGTGACAAAACCTTTTCGGTATGATAATGATATGGATGAAAGGATGAAAATTTCATTTGCAGAATTTACAGACGATCTGTTAGAAATAGCATGCTCCTGTACAGCTAGGAAACTAAAATCAAATTATATTCTTGATGACGAGCACGAATTGAAAAAATGTTCCAATGCTGTTCCATAAACTAGCCTGTTTAAATTTTATTTTGTTAAGAATTAAACGACAATATTGAATCGAATCAATACGCGTTTTAGTGATAATTTAATTTAATTGATTATATATTTTCAATAATTAGTCCATTATAGATGTTATGAGCGAAACCATACATTTGATAGTCAATTAATCTCACCTAAACAAAGTCCCCCTTCAACAAACTATGAACAGATGTTCAAAATTTGTAAATGTTAGTAGAAACTAGTGTTAACATTTCTCCAACAAGAGTGACGGAAAAGATCGCTAAGTTAATATGCTACTCTAGTCACTGTTAACTAGTTCAAGAATCTGAAAAAAGCCTCTACAATTCTAGGCAAGCATAAATCATTCATGTCTTATCTACGACAAAACTTCAATTTTTTGCGAGCTGAAATAAAAGTAACGTGCTAAATTCAAATAGAGACCTACCTTGCGCCGACTTTTTTGTATCTCCTCATGTGAATTCTGTTACAGAAATACGAAGCCAATAAGGTTTTTTTCACCAAAAATTATTTTTTCTAGAAATGCTTTCTTTCCGATAGCACTCGAATAATTATCATTTTGAAATTATTATTTTAACAGAACTGTATTCGAATCATTCAATGTATAAGAAGTTGGATCATGAACAGTTCCAGGTTATTAAAAAGCAAAGTAATGAGTCCAAAAATATGAAATCCTAACGGATTGATTTGTTAATCGGTAAGTCAAGGCGTTATCTTTACAAACAACATTTGTTTAACCTCCAAGTCCTATTTATCATTTAACATATGTTAGCTTAATCAATAGAGAACATACTATTTCTAACAGAAATGAAATTGTGATGATTTTGATGGAATGATTTACGAGTGCAGTATTTCGAGTAAATAACATAAGTTTTCAGTTCACTTTTAGCGGTTCAGAATTTTAAAATCGACAATTTCACAAATTTGTTTTATAATTCAAGTATATTGGTTGAAATTGATTATATGGCCAATAATGATATTTCAAATTTTTGTAATGAGTTCCACACTGTAACAAAATGAAAATGGAATATCTTATGTTGAAAATACACTCATTCGAGCAGGCAGAATTGACAAAATTATAAACTGAAAGCCATAGGAATAGCATGTAAAGAAAAAGACACCAATCAGGATTGGCACGATTTACGAGTATTAACGTTGAGTGTTCAAAAAATAAGACAAATGTTTGAATTTCGCGGGCTACGTACATTAGATTACAAATTTTTCCATTTGGTATACCCGTCTGGAATATATGTTCACATTTTCAGCTGGTTAAGTTTGTTGATGAGAGGCCTACAAGTTAGAAGTGTTTTGCGTGGATCAAAATGTGCATCACATTTTGTGTAAAAATTGAATTAAATGCTCAAAAACAGTTGAAATATTGACAGTGACATACATTTATTGTACTCTGAGTCAGAAAAATGTTTACAAGCTTTTCACAGAAGGTTGAGAAAATGTGAATGACGAAGCTCGCCCTGGACGCTCCAGCACTTCAACAACAGATGAATATGTTGAGAAAAGAAGTTGCTGAGGATATCGGCATAACAGTTGGCTTATTCCAATAGTAGGGGAGCCCAAGCGGGGATTTTGCGTGTAACTCGAGCGCGTCAAAAAATTATTTGGGGAGAAACCTTGCATCCTGTAATATACCCTTATCAAATATGAAACCTTAATATAGTGGCGTACGTTGAGGATAGCCCGTCAGATTATTAAAAAATAATCTATCCTCAGAAAAACTCGAGCGAGTCAGATTGAGAACAGGTGAGTTAAGTACATCCAGAAAAGTGTATAATTCAATAATATGACAATTTGAGCGTGACATAAGGAAATGGGGGACTTACAAAGAAACGTCACAGCGAAATACTCGAGCGCGAATTTTTTTTTGTTTTGAAGGGAATTCTATGAGAATTACAAAAAACATTGAATCTGACGGTTTTTATGAGGCTATGTAGTTAAAACCACAGATAAAGCTTAAGCGTTCAGATGCTGAGAGCTCTGTGTTGAATACACCGCTCTCAGTGAAGGAAGACTCCTCTGTTACCATCAGAACTTCTGATACCTACGAATATCGTTATAATTATGTTAGCCAACGTGGAACATATTAAATCATGGGTAAAAATCTGAATGGATCTCGGAGTAGGTAATGCACGCCGATATCTCGACATTTCCGATCTTTCTGCTAAATTGGGCCCACTTGTTTCACAAGCACTACCAAATATGCATGCGCTTACTGGATGTGATTACAACCCAGCTTTTTACAGACGTGGCAAAAAAGATCTTTAGAAATTTCAATGGGATCTGAAACTTATCAAACATAATTTGCAAAGTTGTGATGTGAATGAAGCTCATGATATCGAAGAATTATCTCTCATTATGGAATCTTTCATCTGTCATTTGTACGAATTGAAGAGACAAGCTGATGTCAACAGTGCTAGTATGGAAATATTTGATAAAACATTCAAAGTAATTGATACGTCTCACCTCTTCTCATTTAATGTACGTAATTACAACGCTTGTAATTGGCCACCTTGCCGATCACGGCAAAAAAATACGTGGCATGCTTGTGGAGGAATGCGCACAATCGTATTGTTATGGAGATATCACCAACAAACTGCGAATGAAAAAATGTGGATGGAAAATTAGAACCGACTTGGCTCGTTAGAAACCAACTTCCTGAAGCATACGAAGATATCGTCATAACACCTGACATTTTCGAAGAAACTTTGAATTCAGGTACGTTTCCTTTTTAATACCCTTATATCATAAACTATATGACAGATTGTAAAGTACAATAACCATTCCTGCTAACAGAAACACGAGATGACGATGAAGTTGAAGAAGTGGAAACCAACCTTGAAGACGAATCCAGTGATTATGAAGTTTACATATTTTTTCTATAATAATATTTGCTATATACTTTGATATTAATGATCTTTCTATAAATGTATGTATGTACATTTTTTCATTCCATCCAGTAATAAACAGAAGGAACAAAAAAATATGATTTTATTCAAAAACTGTCACATTAAAAATTTTTTAAATTGTCACAGTTCCAATATCCCTCTATATAATTGTCAAGTTATCATTTAGGGCGACTCAGACGTCAGGTTGAACCCACAATAGAAACATCTATCGCGCTTGGGTATTTCAAGTTGGCATTTTTTAACTTTTTGAAAAATCAGTCATGATTGTAGATCACGTCCAAATGGTCAGTAATTCAATTCCAACACTGTTTTGAGTTCACTGAACATTCCCTTTCAGTGTCAGACACGCTCAAATAGCTTTTTTTTGTTTTACACTGCTTTTCGCAGCGAACCCTCTATTTAATCCTCAGATTAATATCTATCTGTTATCATAAATTCAAAGCAAGTATACACTAATAATATCTGACGCACTGAAGTAACTGTATTTTCTTACATTTTCAAAATTTTCTCCACGCTTTTTCCCCCACTAAAATAGAAAACTTTTTCCGTTTTAGAACCTAATCTTCACAATCCAATAGGTCCCAATGACGCTCTAGTAATTGCAAATTCAGCATTCAGGCCTCCCCTGCTACAAGCTTATTCCTGGAAATTTTGGGCATGAATCGTGTGGCAACGAAGTTCGTTCCAAAATTGCTAAATTTTGACCAGAAAATCCGTTGTATTAACATCGATCAGAAATTGTTGAATGATGTCAACGGCAACCCAGATTTGCTCTCTTAAATACAAACAGGATAATCGTTGAGACGCTCTAAGAGCGTCGCTTATTTCTGATATGTACCGCTCTTCGTGGAATCTATTGTGCCAAGTCACTTGAACACTTCTCGTGAAAATATCTATAGAAAAAAGACAAATCCCCAACCTTTCTTCGATGTTCCAGGTTGCAAGTGATGTCCGCGTTTCCAATCAGGCAGATGGCTCTTTTCTGGATGGAATCCAGCAGCTTCAGGGTATGTTTAGAGGCGGAGCTTCATACATGAGAAAAATACTCTGAAGGTCTGATCTGAGCTTTATGAAATATCAAAAGTTGCTGAGGGGTGTACAATTTTCAGGTCCGGAACAGTGTTACAAGCTTTTGAGAAGCAGCCTTTGCAATTCCAGGGTATATGATTCTGACATCGTAACCAAAGTCCAATCATCCCAGGAGACCAAGACCAAATAAAGCACGCCAAATTCGTTTAAATGTAGAAGTTTCGCTCACCAAAAATAACACGGTAATCATGCTTCAGTCACCATATTCACCATATTGAAAGGGACAAAATAGAAAGAAAGTTTTTGGCTTTCTACTACTCCATCTTGATACAAAAAACAAGGATGAGGGAATCTTCCAAGGAAAGGAAGGAAATAATCAATTTTAAAATAAGTAACTCTATACATGGATGTGTAGATCATGCAAATAAGTAACTTTCAGACACAAACTGAAAGAAAGTCTTCCTGAAACAGCTACTTTCATATAAACATTGAATTATACGAAAGAAAAAAATTCTTTCGAAACAAATACTTTTCTCTACTCAGTTTGTATTTCAAACATTCGTGATTAATTATTAATACTTGATAATTAATCACTCCTAAAAATATAACCCCTTCAATTCACAAAATAGAAATTGATGAATACATATTTTTTTAGAAAAATGAAAATTCACCTTATTTTTTGAACAGTTAGCGTATATTGGCTTCAAATTCAAATGAAAGGTGATTTCCGCAACTTATGAGATGTGAAAATCCTCTAAAAGAGGTTCGTATCTGGATACTGAATTTGAAATCAGAAAAACCTTCGGTAAGTGCATGAAAAAAAGGCCTTAATGGAAAATTGGTTGTTTGGCATTATTCATAGTCAATAAAGACGAAATACGCCCCTTCAGAAATTATCTGAGGGAAATAAATACGAACAGTGGAATTAACAAAAAAAAACAGATGTCAAAGCCTAGAGGTATAAATACCCAATGGTTTCATTGATATGGTGTACTACTTACGATTGCAAATTGTTTCATATGACGCTTCTCATGTACTTTTGAGGTTTTATTCTCATATCTATTTTTTCTTTGTGCGATTTGTTCTGCACTGATAAGGGGTAACAATCGCTATTTCAAAGATATACCGAACTGATAATTCAAACCTGAATGATAAAATCAGTGGATTGGTACTCTAAAAATATTGAAGTAAATTATCATTGGAGCATTTGCAATTACAGATGCAGATACGTATTGTTGCGAATTATACGTATAATATTGTATTTGACGTTCAGGAATGAAAATAATCCAAACTGCAAATTTCACAGAAATGTTAGCAGAAATTAGAAAACAAATTTTGAATGGATAGGATGTGTTTCTGAAAATAAGTTTGTAGAACTGGTTAACGGAAAAACATATTTTGAACAGATTTTTTTTTAAACAGAGACCACCATTGGATTTCGCTGAATTGTCATCTGAAATACTGAGTATAGAAAACGTGTTGAAGAGTTATCAGTGAGGTTCGTGCAGATATAACAGAAAAAAAGATGTTATAGGCTAACGGGGTGAATTCAAGATTGCAATATTAAATGAGACCGAACATTCGTACAGCAAATGGAATCTAGACATATACACATACTCGTATGTGACTAAGGTATATCAAACAAAGTGAGCGTTGAGAAAGTACAATTCAATATGCTGGATCGACAGACGGTTGGATTTCGAATTGCTTGATAATATCAGCTAGAAATATTAAAGATTCATTGCTGGACCATAGTAGGGATATCGATGCAAATAAATTTAAAAACGACCCATTCGAAATAAACCACCCATTATTGTCATATTTATATATAATGGTTCTTACCATAATCGATAATTATCAAGAGTCAACTACAAAAATAGAGATTCAGAATTTCCGGTTGGCCAATGATACTCGTATAAAATGAAAAAAGCTATTCGAAATGTTTTGTGATAATTCAGCTGCAGGCATGTGGTACTAAGACTTTCAAAATAGCATTTGTATCTTCAATACTATTGAGCATCTTTTGCACGAACTTAAGAGTATATTCTAAAAATACCGAAAACGAAACAGATCGAATATCTTCAAAACACATGTTTTCCGAAAAAAAATCAAAAACACGTCGATTTGTAATCTACGGGGGGCATGTTTCTATCATAACCTCAACTATCATACCTCTCCCCCCCTCGGTCACTATCACCCAAACAATTCGAATAGGGAAAGTAGAAAGTATGACACATCATTAAAAAGGTAATTTCATAAGAATTCGGCCATGTCAATTTTCGCTACCTAACTTTTTATTTTGGCGCCCTCTTGCGGGAAAAAAACTGTTTCCTTTGGTGTAGTAATGAATATTACTGGAGTTTTTCCCAACACCAAACTGTTAATTCAACACCTCGACAGGTGTTTTGATCACCAAGTTATCATCTTCAAGAGGAAAATCCAACTGATCTTCCACTTGAAGGTCGAGGTGTTAAAATAACGGTTTTGTGTTGAGAAAAAACTCCAGTAATATTCAAACTTAACGGGGGCAGTTTGAAAAATTCAGTAACAAAAATTATTATTATCGAAAACACGTTTATCTATTTTGCAATGAATCGGATTCTGATAGATATAAAAAAACGTATATACCTACAAATCATTATAGTCACTATTGTAATACCGATATCCCTAAACACCTAAATATAATGTATGATAGAACATTTTATTTTGAACGGTTCAGTGAAAATCTCACAATAAAATGTTCCCTGAATAGTTTCCAAAATGAATATTTCAAGTACGAATCTATGTAAGTATACTTGTAGTTAATACTCAAGGCGCTTGGCATCATATTATGTTACCAATCTCTAGCCAACATATCAGTTCGATATACTTTACCCTAGATGTAATAATCAAGATTTCATTGGAAAATTGAGGTAAATACATTCGAAAATTAGGTATAATCCAACTGTATCAAAACGTATTTCATAGTAAGCATGTTCAATGTTGAAAATGATATTTCAAATATTAGTTGGGAATGTTGAAATTCTACCGCCAAAAGCGAACTGTACACCTAAACTACGTGACTCACCTATGAATGGGTGATTCTGGAAACAAATCGAGACCTTCCGAGACAGAAGAGCTTGGACTCGGCGTTGTGTCCGGCAAACCATTTCTGATATTCTCGACTTTTTTCTTTGCTCGACCTCGCTTCTTCTCGAATTTGCTCGTCTCCATCGACGCAGCTCTTCGCCTTACCGATTTTCCAGGTTTAGCGTCCGGGTTGATCATCCACCAGGACGATTTTCCTGTTCCTTCGTTTTGGACCCTCATGAAGCGATTGTGGAGAGATAGGTTGTGCCTTATGGAATTCTGAAATGAAAATATCAATTACAATTTGAACATTGAAAGATAACTGTTCAGTAATTCATGGTATAAGTATAGCAACTGATCAGATCCACTAGCAGAGGTGACAATATTTGACATAGACAGACCGTTTCTCTTTCTCTATTTCTTCAATAATTCACAAATATTTTCATCAAATATCATTTTTATTTCACAACCAATACCAACACTAAAGGAGTACTTCGTTAATATAGTCACTATGCTAATACAGTCAATGGCAACAAGTCCAATTTTTTTATTGAGTATTGTTGTTGATGATATTCAATAGATATTTATGTAATGTTTTTCAAAGTTTCCGGAAAAGTGCATCATTACTTTTTCATTCCAAAAACTACAGTGTGACGACAGTCTCTGGAGACAGGGTGCTACATTATTTTGTGAATGTGGAATGATATTTGTGATGTTTGGCCAGCAAACCCTCATGTCACACCGCGACAGGTGTTTCGCAAAAACTTACTCTTACAATAACTTTTACACAGTTCTGCTTGAGAGAGCTACTATACAACAAATAAGATTCGCGATTTTTTGAACTTTTCGTAATGAAATCCAGAATGAAGTATATAGGTAAGTCTTGATTGAGATATTTTTCAAGTATCGGTCAATTCTATTAAATTGATCAGTGTTCACCTCCAGTTTAAATACTGAACTAGACACTAGAAGCACTGATATCAAAACGAAAACAATAACTGAAGATGATTATGAAATGAAGTATTCTCTTGGACAGAATTCTTGTCGTTTCTTTGTTTTGGAATAAAAATCAGGTATCCGAGACAGTTTCAGCAAATATATACCTAAAGTAATTCAAAACAAATTCCACAATGCTGGCATCACTGCTAAATAAACGAATCCAATACAACTGTACCGAAATAACTTTTGCATAGAGGTAGTAAATGCAGCAGAGTGTATTCAGATAACACCTCATCGTGAGATTTTCACTCAACAGTTTACAAAACCTCGCTACGTGTTTCACTATATAATAACTTCTACAGGCGTGTTCAATACTCAATAAGAGCACCCACATGCTCATTTCATCATTGAGGTTCAAGATATCAATTAAATGAAAATACATTTGACAATTAATAACTGCTACTCTTACCGATTACTGCAAACTCTGAATACCAAGAAGTAGAGACAAGACGAGATAAGAAAATGTCTTCTCCTTTCTCTTCAAAACGAGAGAGATATTTTGTCTTGGGTATTATTGTCAGCCTAGGTATTTTAAAAACTGATTTGAAGGCAATGCGTTTCTTAAAGCATAGGATTAGCATCTTCGTTACCTTCTACTAGAAGCAGTCTACAGTGTGTCCGCATAGTATGGAATAAATTCGATATTTCCAAAACCAAAGGTCGTTTTACAAAAATCTGAAACACGTCGATTTTTAATTTTAATATTCTACATTTTACAACAAAATTTCATTATATAGGGTGATCCATATTAATATGATTACGTCATCGGTAATTTTTTTAAATGCAGAGCCCTGTATTTGGTGTCAGTTTTAGATAATCTGTAACGAGCTGATTACGAAAAGGTATGATACTTGGGGTCTAACGGGCAGAATTTGAAAGACGTGGACATATTGAATGGCCAGCAAGGTCGCCAGACTTGAATCCGTTGGATTACTTTATGTGAGGCCATCTGAAGAATGTTGTTTATAAAACGAAACCAGCACATACTCAAGAATTGAAAGAGAGAATTCGAACAGAAATAAACAATATTTCTCAAAAAACCATAAAAAAGGTTCAACAAGAATTTATTCAACGTTTTGGTTACTGTCAACTACAGCAAGGACTACAGTTCGAACATTGGAAATGAAGTCATGTTTTTATTACTGGAAAACTTTCCCATTGTTGAATTAATCATTAGAAAAAAATATAAAATAATTAATTAATTTCTACTTCCATTAGATATCAATGAAATTTATTTTCTAAGCGCACATCTTTCAAATTCTTTCCGTTAGACCTTTTCGGAATCAGCTCGTTACGGATTATCTAAAACTGACACCAAATACAGGGTGTTGCATTTAAAAAAATTACTGATGACGTTATCACATTAATATGGATCACCCTGTATAGTGAAATTTTGTTGTAAAATTTAGAATATTAAAATTAAAAATCGACGTGTTTCAGGTTTTTGTAAAACCACCTTTAATTTTGGAAATATCGGATTTATTCCATACTTTGGCGGACACACTGTATATGTAAAGCCAATATCTCAAAATTGATTCGCATTCAGTGAAGATTTTTTAGTTTCTTCGTGCAATTTGTGACACTTGTACATTTTTTCAGATTAAGAAAAGTTGATACCAACGACTTCACGTCGAATAAATTCACAACACAACAAAAAAATATTTTTTGAATGTTTCCTACACTAAATTAGTCAATTTCTACTAATTTTGGGGTGATAAAAACGAAAATAACAATGAAAAATTTTTATTAGCTCTGGTTTTTGAGATACACAGTACTTAATCTTAAAGAGTAGTTATACTATACGTGAAAAGTGAAAGTACATAAAACAATATTGTTATGTTTCTTTTAGAATATTTTAAGTACAAAATTAATAAAAAAAACATTACTCTTAGTGTTTTGACAAATAAAAGAAGTTTGTACCACCAAATTTCAATTAAGTCCATCCGATTCATTGTAAGATCGCTGTCGTTTGGCTTGTCTTTTATAAAACACTTCTGGAGCATCCCTACACACAGACCAGCAGTAGTCTGCAAGCATTGCTTCATTCCAACGGCCCTGATATCTCTGTTCCATTAAGGCAATGTCTTGATGGAATCTTTCTCCATGTTCGTCACTCACAGCTCCACAGTTTTGTGGGAAGAAATTAAGATGAGAGTGAAGAAAATGAATTTTTAAGGACATGTTGCATCCAAGTTGGTGGTAAGCTTGAAGAAGCTCTTTAACCAATGCTGTGAAGTTATCATCTCTTTTGTTACCTAAAAACCCATGTACAACCCCCTTAAAGGCTTCCCAGGCTCTTTTTTCATTTCCTGTTAAAATCATGTCAAAAGCAGGATCATTTACGATTTCACGGATTTGAGGCCCAATAAAGATGCCTTCCTTGACTTTAGCATCACTCAACCTGGGAAACTTTGCTCTCAAGTACTTAAAAGCTTGTCCTTCCTGGTCCATGGCCTTCACAAAGTTTTTCATTAGTCCCAACTTAATATGTAATGGGGGAAGGAGAACATCCTTAGGATCTACGAGAGGCTCGTAAACTACATTTTTCTCATTAGGGTTTAGGTCTCGTGTAGGCCAGTTCATTTTTTTATAGTGAGATTTTCTATCCCGACTGTCCCACAGACACAAAAAACAACAGTACTTGGTGAACCCTAATTGCATTCCTAGGAGTATAGCAATGACTTTCGGATCACCACAGATGTGCCACTTGTGTTGTTCATATTTGATTGATTGGAGAAGTGTTTTCATATTTATATACGTTTCCTTCATGTGAACTGCATGACCTATAGGAATAGAGGGTAGCTGATTTCCATTATGCAGAAGCTTTTAAGCTTAGTTTTGAAGAGTCTATAAACAGTCTCCATTCAGATGGAGTGTGATCCAAATTCAAGCAGTCCATCAAACCATTAACATCAGAACAAACTACGAGGTTTTCTTTTTTCTCAAAAAAAGGAAGCAAATCTTTTTGACGCTGTCTGTACTGAGATATTTTCACATCATGTTTTAGAAGATTCCACTGTTGTAGTCTTGACCCTAACAGCTCAGCCTTTTCCTTAGACAAGCGAAGATCTCTAATAAGGTCACTCAACTCTGCTTGACTAATTCTGTGCGGATCACTAGACCTATCGCTTACCTCAAAGTCAGGGTCATAGGATGTAGAAGGATGGGTTGCTCCTTCTAAACAGTCTTCATCACCTTCCTCTAAAATTTCATAGTTTTGGGGTGGAGAAGGGACTGGCAAATTGTCTGAGTGTGGTACAGGCCGAAGAGCAGATGGGAGATTAGGGTATTTAACCGTTCCTCTTTTCTTCATAGATAAACCTTGCTTAATGGGAGGAGTTAAGCAGAAATAACAGTCGTCTGTATGATTGGTAGGCTCACGCCAAACCATAGGTACTGCAAAAGCCATTGCCCGGTTTTTATTTTTCAGCCACTCTCGCAATATGACGGAACAAGAATTACAACATATATGAGGAGCCCATGATTTATCTTGGTCCCCAACTTTCACACCAAAATAATGTTCATAGGCTGTCTTAATGATAGGTGTCATTTTACGTTTCTGAGCCTTAAATGTTATTTCACCACATATATAGCAAAAGCTATCGACAGAATTCACACACTTTCGAGGCATTTCAGATCAGCACTTAAATTAATTTAAAAATCAACTTCACACGATAATTTCAATAGCAACCACGTGCGTACAATTGACAAACTCACATAGGTTATGTTTACTACTTAAGAACAGCTGATGAGAGGGGTGTTATGTAAACAAACATGTGTACCAACTGTTGGTGATGAAATATCATTTGTTGAAAACTCAATATACATATATATAATATAATGATACTATATCTTGAAAACAAGAGCTAATATATAATTTTTATGGTCACTTTCGGTTTTAACACGTGGAAATACATTAAAATCATCTAATTTCAACCCCGAAACAAAAACTTTGTTGTGTTGTGATCTGGAAATGTTTCCGATGAAACTTTTGCTGTCAAGTGAAAGTCGCTTCGAGGTATCGATTTCAAAAGGTTGTTAATTCCGATGTCCAATATAAGAGACAATGCTGGCCAAGGGTTCACAATCTCCGAAATGACATTTTATTCTCCTCTAAAGTATCCATCAGAAGCTGATTCGTCAACGGTTTCCCCCCAACTACGCTTGCTTCGAATTGCGACTCAAAGTTTTAATTATTGCTGCAACTCTACAAGCTCAAAAGGATAGTTGAGCTGAAAGTTGTCGATATTGCCATACTTGTAAACGGAAAGGTACGACAG